TGTTTCTGCTGGTAGAACATGAGACAAAGTGACAATGCCAGAGAGCACCTGGAACACAGAGACAGTGTTGTCATTCTTTAACAGAAAGTACGTGAACAGGAATCCTTTATCCCTAGCTATTATTTTATTTTAAGCTGCATTTTTTTTAAATACTCGAACTTACTTTTCAAATTAAGTAAATGTACGATAATATAACATTTTAGTGATTTATGTTTACGCATACACAAGTGAGAGACTGCAGGAACAATGTTGTCGTCCTATGATAGGTAAATCAGGGAAAAACAATGAGCATACTGCTCGCAATACTCATAGAGATACGTTACCATATAGAAATGTTCATATACCAAGTACCGTAATTGGTACAAGTACATGTACAGATACTTTTCCACCTCCAAACCTAGACTAGAGAAAAACTAAAAAGTTAGGAGGCAGCTGTCATTTTTAAAGAGCATACGGGGCTCCTGGGATAGTAACTGCCAAGCATCGGCACTGGTATCTGAACATCCCGAAAAAGATTATGTAGAACCCAAACTTTTTTTTTTTTACTTTACCCAAAAGTAGTGAGGGGTTATAAGTCCTTTAAAACATTTTTTATTGCTGTATCCTACTGGGGAGTGCACAAGATGATAGGAAATCCAAAATTTTACAGTTGTCCCTAGAAGAGGATCATAGGGGACTTCTTCCAATTGGGACAACTGTCTAAAAGGGGAATTCCCTTGACTTTATATAGATTTACTCTCACTTCCAGTCCCTTCTCCAAGACAGGAAATACATTGAAATCTCCCTAATCGGACTACAAATAAAAACCTGGTTTTAACCTTTCCCTATTCTATCCAAAACAGAAAAAAATCAAGTTTTAGGTATATGTACACTTTAAAAATGTGTATTTGCCACGTCAATTTTGAACTTAAGGTAAAACTACTTTCGTACACTTATTTGCCTAAATGGATATTCTTAGCCAGACCAGTGAATTAATCAATTAGGTAAATAACATTAATTGCCTATGTTGTTCTGTTAAAGTTTGCATCTGTGTGATAGGTTGTATGACAAGATGAATTCCATCATTTCCTATAGTGCCTGTTCAGATCTGTGCACTCTGCTGTTGTGCTTTTTTGAAAATGCTGCATGTACATACTCGGTGCAACAAAATGCATTTTTGGCACCATAGACTCCAATAGAATTGCATTAAAACACATGTACATGCATGTTACGCATTATTTGGCATAACAAGTGGACATCCCCTACCAACTTCTACTCTAAACAGACTGCCGCGGAGATGGAGAGAGAAGGCCGCAGCATGATGTACGTTGAAGTCTTTATCGGCCTGGTCAGAGTGAGGTCATTGCTGTATGATTCCTTCGACCAGCAATAAAAAGATTGCAGTAAGTATGGGATGGCATTGGACCATAAAAGTGGATGAAAATGCATTACAACACATTCAAAATGTGCATTAATGTGTGTAAAACGCACTATAGAGCCATTCACACTTGAGCTTCTGCGTTTGTATGCGTTATTGTTTTGGCCAATGAAGGTGAAATAAAGTATAGGTTGCTAGGTGGTGGGTCTTGTTGTCATGTGCTAAAATACATGTTTCAAGCATTCCTATTTCGGTCCAAGCGGCTAAAAATGCACTATGTAGCACCTCAAAAACCGCACATCATGTTGCATAGGGTTGAACGAGTGTCATAGAGAATCATGTGATTTCTATTGTCATGCACTGTAGTGTGACAAAATCGCACTGGTGTGAACAGGGGCTGAAAATGAAGATGCCAAAGTGTGAATGGAAAGTAACCCCTGTTCACATGTTTGTGCTGTGGCACAGGGCATGAATGGGCATGTCACTTTGTAAGACGTGCTGCGGTATCATTCAGTATGAATGGCACCCAACTCACCTTGCTTCACCATGTACTCTAAGGTGCATAAAAACACATGGTTACAAAGTTCCATGCATTTTGGTGCAGCACATTTTGAAAAAGAAAAGGTGCAGGGACTTCTTTGGTGAGATTGTCGTGCATAGGGCAGCCTACTAAAATGAAAAGGCTGCCCTATACAGAATGCACACAAAACATGCATGCACTCTGTCTCACCCACACAAGAGGGATCGGGGACTTAAAGCAGAACCCTGGGTAAAAATGTGTGGGGCTACCCCCGCACTGCAAGGGTTAAGTGCTCATTTTTGTCTAGGTGTAAGAAAAATAATACTCACCCGATCTTCAGTCAGCTGGCTATTAGATCGGTCCCTGAAGCCTCTCTCCCCTCTGCTGCAGCAGTCTAAGGATCCTCAAGTCATCATGTTGTATACACTGTGTGTGTAGGACGTGAGGACACCAAAGGACATACCAATACTGCAGTTGAGGTAGAGACAGTTTTTAGAGACACGAGCAGCCAGCTGGCTCCGCAGTTCAGGCACACAGAACTTTTTTTTTTAGCAGCTAGATTACTCTTGCAGGGCAGGGGTAGCCCCACTGAAAGGGTTTAGAACATTTTTGGCCAGAGTTCTGCTTTTAAAGTTTCCAATGGGGCACGTTGAGAATATTTAACTGTTGCGTGCTGATAGGTGGAAGTTGTAGATATGATGGAAACTGATGATATAATGGCTCATGCGTAACCACATATGAGCAGTCCACTTTGTGTGGTTAGGCCAGCTGAGTTCTCTTTCATGAGGGACCGGGGCCATGTATCCAGAGAGGGGGAGCCCACTGGAGCAGCAGGAAGAAAACAATCCTTTTTAAAAATGGAGGGCAGTATTTGAATTTACATTGTTAGCTGTAATGTACATAGATTTGCTTTAAAGGTGAACCAACCCCTGAAAAATATCAATGTTAGTCTATCCCAAATGGTGTTTAAAAAATGGAAGGGTAACCTAAAAGGAAGTGATTTTTAAACTGACACTAAACTCAGATCCGTGTGCTCCTGCACTAAAAATGCATCCCAATGTGTTTTATGGGCTACAGTTCTCACGTGCGCAGTCCGTTCAGCTTACGACAGAAAAAATTCTGCATGTCACATTTTGTACGGTCTGGAAACGCACGAACTCGTCAAAAACGCAACGAAAACGGACCGCACTGCAGCTAAGCAAAAAAAAAAAAAGTATTCTTGCTACACTTTTCATGATGTCATCATCGTTGGACTTCCTGGTTGTGGTGGAGCAGTAGAGGGAAAACCAGTAGGCATGAACAACATGGTCCTGGACATAGAAAGATTTGTCGGATTGATGGAGCGTGCGCCAATGCTATACCTCCTGCGAGCTCGTTCTCTGCAGATTGCTGTAGCCAGTACCAACACAATGCCTGCAAACATGTGATACATGTCTGATCACCAGCTTTACATACACAAAGGGCAGTGGTTGTTACGAGAGGGCGGAAGTGACCTCAGGAAGAATCAGCATACTGTCAGTGTTCGGACCGCGGTAAAAATGCATAAAAACGCATCAAACGCACTGCATGCAGAGCACCACATCTGCTTCCAGCTGCTGATCTCTCCTCCGATCACTGGACCCGGAAGTGATGTGTATTGCATCACTTCCGGTGTCACTGTACACAGTCTCCGGCTCTTAGAGCCAGGAGATGAAGCTGGGGAAGCAGATCTCTGCTTCCTCAGCTTCTTTGGGGTCCCTAGGTGACATTAGGGGTCTGCAAGACCCCTGATGTCTCCATAAAAAGGACCTGTCACACCCTATCTGCTATTAGATAGGGTGCTTGTTAGCTCCCTATCTAATAGCAATAGGGTTAGTGATAAAAAAAAAAAAATAAAGTGTTAAAAAGTTTTAAAAATTAAAGTAACACAAAAGAAAAATTATAAAATGGAAAAAAAATGTTTTTAAGACCCCCGTCCCCCACCTGCACGCACATACACACGCGTCAGTGCGCCTACGTGCAAAAAGACAATTGCGCTACACGTTACATATCGCCGCGAACGTCGGAGCGAGAGCAATAATTCTAGCACTGCCAATGACTGTTAGCACCAAACTGATGAGCTGCAAAAGCATTTAAAATGTTCCCTATGGGAAATTTTGGGTATTTACATTTTTTGCGGCTTCACGGGTGAACGCAATTTTAAGGCTTGACATGTTTGGTATCTATTTACCTGATGTGATCCCGTCTTTCATATTTTACCAAAAAATTGGGTATTATATTATGTTTCTGTGCACTAAATTTTAATTTAGTTTATTTTTTCCTAAAAATACGGGTTTGATAAACATTTGCGCTAAAACCGTGCGACGTAAAAAATTGCACCTAGCATTTTTTTATTCTACAGGGCCTCAGCTTTCAGAAAATATTGTTGGGGGTATGAAGCTGTTTTCTAGCCAAAAATTTATATTTTTATCATGTGTGCGCAAATAGTAGGAAAACCGCTCCAAGCTCACTCCTGTGATGGACTACAATCTCATGTTGTTTACTCCTTTGTATTGAGATTGTAGTCCATCACAGGAGTGAGCTTGGAGAGGTGGCTACTTTACAACACACACAGGGGCCATGGGAAACAAAAGTAGCCACCCTCCAGAAGGAAGGACAGTGTCAGCATGAATTTAGAGATGATTTGAGGATCTACAGCTGACTGATACACAAATAAGAGACATTTATGTTAAATTTAAGGTACTTGAATGTATTTTTAAGGTTAAAATCCTGAGTTTAGTGTCACTTTAAGTGTTCAGGATCAGCTACTACAAGACTAACCCACACACTAGCAATGGTGTGACTCATGGCACATAAACACCCGCCTGACCTCGGCTTGCAGCCAGCATACTATTACTGAGCTCTATGTCGCCTGTAATACTCATACCCTGGCCCTGGAGAAAGTGTAATGCAGGGAGCGGAGCCGCATGCAAATATACAAGAGTCCCATGGGCAGCATATCTGGAGCTGCGTGCACCATTCATCCCAATGCAAATGCTCTGGGTCAGACAAAGCTGCATGCCAAACCTGCTGCTGTGGGCGTGGCTTACTGTCTCACTGAGAAACAACGCTGGGTTGCGGCGCCCTCCCTATGGGTGTGCTCGACGACCTCTCGCGGGAAGGGGCGGAGATCCCGGTCGGATCAGTGGGCGTGTCTCCGGCCGCGCCGGAAGCGCTGTCCTCCTCTTGGTCCGAACTGGTTGTGGCCTGTGTGTACGGTGAAGCCTGGAGCTGGAGTAAAGGCTGCGCGAACTTGTTGCGGGGGGAGGGCGATGGGATGGGGGGAAGCCTGGGCCCCGTGTGACCCGATCTCCGGGGAGCTGTGTGAGATAGGACAAGATGGAGGACACTTAAGGCCAGAGTGAGGGTGAGTGAAACCCACACAGAGTGTTTACGTGCGTTATGGAGGTGGAGAGTCCAGCGATCTGTGCGGATGGAGAATGTGGTGTGTACACAGTGCGGGTGTTCCCTGATATCAGCCTTCATTGTTGCTGTACGATTATATACACACGCTGCTGTGTGATCATCTGTGTGTACAGACGTGATGATTGATGTATGGAAGACATTGGTCATGTGGGAAGTCATCCATTCCCCTTTATGTATCCACAGAGGGTGAACACTGAATCGCCTGGGCTTGTTTCAGCTTTGTTATAAGGAGGTTCTTGTGGGTGTCCTGGTCTGTTGTCTCTGTGGATCCTCTACTGGGGACTTTGTGTTATGTTAATGCTTTATCACAAGGATAAGGATCTTTATTGTTAAGGATCTTTATTTTTGGCCATGGGATTGTCATTTCCAGATATCATTGCACTCCCCTGAAAATCTTTCTGAATCTAGTTCTCCCGGTGTGTTAGGGCCCATTCACACCAGCGGCTGCACTAAATTGCACAGTGTCTGGTGTGCGGTGCCTTTTTACATTTTTTTTTTTTTAGAACTTTATGTAAGTGTCACAAGTAACATTTCATTCAGTTCTATGGGCACAGCGGGGTGCAAGGTGGTTGTTCCGTGTTGCATCCCATTGGATGTTCAGTGCTCACCGCTGTGTTCCGGTGGTGTCACTGGTACCCATCCGCGACAAGGCAAATTACCTTGTATTGGGGCTGCGCTGGAAAAAATGGCCAGTGCACACCCAATACATCTGGTGTACAACCGAGCCATGTTGTCATATCTGTTTACTTGCTGATAAAGGATTTGTAGCCTTTTCAAAAGTTTATTTCTTCCTTTGTAGAATTGTTTGCACATAGCAATGTCTAGGAAGCATGTCTGGACAATTGTTTACCAAGTATTACACACACAGAGGAGAGTTCATCAAAACTGGAGGCGGCAGAATCAGGAGCAGTTGCCCAGGGCAACCAATCCTGTTTCTCTCTAAAGTTTGTTCAGTTAAGCTTTGAAAATGAAAGAGAGAAGCTGATTGGTTACAATGGCCAACTGCCTCAGATTCTCTCTGCTTCAGTTTTGCTAAACCCCCC